GGGAATGCCACAATGCAATCACTGGTTCAGCAGTCATTTGTCATATTACTAAAATATTGGGACTTGTCTGGGTTATGTAATGGCTAGCTGAGTGCTGTAGTATGTGATTATTGAATGTGAGTGCTGAAGGCATCCCCAGGTAGTGCTGTATGTAACCAAGGATGGTTATATCTAACAAGGGGACCTTACAGTCTCGGAAATTCAGTTTGGGATGAGATTGCAGGTTAGTAGTATATTTGAAGGGTGTCCACCCAGAAGAATTGCAAAGCTCACTAGCCAGAAGATTTGAGAAAAAGGGGCTATAAAGTTTTAAGCTCACCTTATATACTGGTCGAGTTTACATTATGGCAACATACCTAAATGGCTGAGTCTGTAGTGAACGCGCTTGGCACGCAGGCGATCTAGGTTNGGTTTTGTTGAATTTTGTTCCTATTTGACTACTCCAGTTATCCCGTTGATATTTCTTGTCTTTCGAGCTGGTGTGTAATTTTTTACATTTTAGCTATGTCACTAAAGCATAAAAACACTTTTTTTCTGTTGGTTTTTGGTTTAGGTTGCTGCTTTTTACTTGAATAAGTTTTGAAGATTTTAGTAGAATAATGACGTTTTAACGTAAATGATTGGGATTCTCGTGCTGGCTTTAACTCAAAATTGACAATTTCGGAGTTAAGTCGCTAACAGGCAATAAGATAGTTTGAGTAAATTCTCTATGTTGTGACTCCTTGTGGAATGAATCTGCAAAATTAACTAGATTGACACAACTTTATAACAGATCATCTTTATGATGTCTTTGTATTGACAATGAATGTTAACTATATACAGATATTGAATTTAAATACAATTAAAACTTGATATACTGTCGTTACTTGTTTGTCTGTCAGTCTGGTACTAAGTTAAATCACCTTAAGCAATAAGAATCATATATAATAATGAGATGTATACACAAGTTTAAAGTTTGAAAGCTGTTATTTGGTAATAACAATGTCATTTATAATGAAAAATTGCACATTTAGCACTTTGAAAATACTGAACGATTAATGAAAATCTGTTCGGGAGTATTTGTCGATAATTTACAATGGTGGTGCTATTAAAGAGGACATTATATTGAGATTTAACTGTAGTTAATATTCATTGTTAAATGTGTTTAATTAGTAGATACATAGTTTGAATGACACAAAACAATAAAGTAACTTATGTTAAATAAATTTATGGTAAATATTCAAACTTCATGCCTTTTAATTAAACTCTTAGTCCTGTTTAGAAAAATATATTTAGATGCTCTGCAAAAACTTTATATCCTCTAGCAACACAAATATTTGTATTCACTTACAGTGCATGTAGTTTGTTAGAAGTTGTATTCATATTTATATAACATTTATAATTCATGTCAAAACTAATTATTAATAATTTTTTAAGACTTATTATCTTCTGTACACATTTGTTATATTTCTGATATATAAAACCAAATAATGTTTAGTATGTGTATAGCCTAAATATTTACTTTTCCTATTTTGTGTTAAATATCCAAATCCATTATAAAATAAAAGAATTTTTGAAACTTTAACATAGATTTAAAATAATATATTTTGTTGTAATGATAAAAATGATGGTAACAACTTGTTTTATACTTTCACAGAATTGCTTGCTAAATTAGAATTATATAAATATGTAATATCCAGACAAGGATATGCTTAGGGTTTGTCAGAGGCATCATTTTAGAAATTACAATTGCTTGTAAAATGAAAAGATCTGAATTTTGAAATTGTATTTAGTATTTAAAATATATAAATAAGCTTTATTATTTATGTGCCAATTTTTAGGTATGTGAGAGTGGCAAAAAATTTAGAGCCAGTCTGGCACAGTAGAATCAAAAATAAATCATTTCTGGCTCAGGTTTTATGATGCAAACTCTTACAGTACACTACTTTCAAAATAAACTTCTATTGCTTATGTCCATGTGAGATAGTAAAAGAGTGTTTTTGATTTATAGTTGCAGGTAACCCCCGTATAATACGGGAGTTATGTTTCAAAAAATTTCTTTGTTATTCGAGTCCGTGTTATACGAAACAAAGAACTAATGTTTAAAAGGGGGTTAGGTTCCAAAAATTAAAAAACATGCTGTTAAATCATTATTTAAATCGGATTTATTATTCATTTTTTATGGGTAAAATACTTATTTATTATTTAAGTAAATATTTTACCAGAGGATTAGTCATTCTATATGATGATCTCAGCATGAGCATCATCAACTTGTAACAGTTTTTGAAATTGTATTTAGTATTTAAAATATATAAATAAGCTTTATTATTTATGTGCCAATTTTTAAGTATGGGAGAGTGGCAAAAAATTTAGAGCCAGTCTGGCACAGTAGAATCAAAATTAAATCATCATCATCTCTTAATAGCAGTCGCTCTGTGTCTCCGCTACAACGGGAGTGCACTGCTGTTTGTAGGCATGTAGGAACGATGGTGAAAGAAAGAAAGATGGCAGCGCCCGTACTATTGATAGTATTGAGATGGAAGAATCTATAATTTTAAAATATGAGCTTTTAGAGGCAAAAGAAGGGTTCCAATTGTAAAATTTATTTATTAAATGGATTATTTGTTGAAAGAGCATTCAAAGTAGCAACGAAAAAAATTAGAATGCTCGCGCGGAGGTATAAAAGAACGCACCCTTTATTACATTTCATGTTGAACAAGGGTTTTACCCAATTTTCAAACCGTGTTATAGTGAATACGTGCTATAAAAACACCGTGTTATACGGGGATGTGTCCCAATTGTCAAACCGTGTTAGAGTGAATCCATGCTACAGAAGTGCCGTGTTATATGGGGGTTACCTGTATTTCCATTATTTATTTTCCAGTTTGTTTCAGTTGTTTTGAATTTTGGGGGATTAAATTTGTTAAATCTTAACTGCTATCTCAACATTTTTCAACTAGAACTTTGAAATTGAAAATTAAGGATATTTGCAATGAGGCTTTTCTTGCTTTTAGGTGAATTATACAAAAGCTGTGAATCATGACCATGCATATGGAGAGGACAATTTCAGGACAGTAACAACCTAAAACTGTTTAGTATTGTCAACTACAAATGTTGCAATTCTCATTTTATCTTCATTGGACATTTTAAAGGTCAACATTATTGACTTTTAAAGAATTATTTTGTGCCATATCTATAAGTTTAAAAATACATCAACTAGTCCTTCTGTTGGTGAATTTTGATAAGCAGCAAGTGTTATTAAAAGCAGTTTTCCTTTAAGCCAATGACTTTTGTCACTGAACCTGTACTAATGAAGTCAAGGTCAAGAGAAACAATATTTTTGTGACTTTTAAGAAAGGCAGATAATGAATACCGTTATTATTTTGGATTTTTGACATAAATTAGTAGACACACAAGTTAAGCAAAATTTTATTTAAGTATGTGTAATATGCAAATCAGCAATGTATAAAAGAATATTACTAAAAATAGAAAAAGACAAATAATAAAGTTGCCTTATATTTACAGGGTGGCTAATAAATATTTTAAATTAGTTTACATATATTTAATATGACAATCTTGTCATAATATCCATCAATTGCCACTGTGTATCCAAGGACAATAAAACAAAATTAAAGACAATAAAAAATGTTTTTATTTAACAACATTCTGTTTTATAAATTATCAAAATGCATTTTGGCTTTCTATCAAAATTAAGCCCTTATCAGTTCTAAAATAATAAAATACAAATTATTTTAGTACAATCTAGGTGATAAACACACATACAAGAAGTTTATTGCAATAGTCTTAGAGAAACAACAGTTCTCTTACATTACATCAAAACCAGAATACTGCAATACATACGTGGTAAAAATGATGCTACAATAATTTACCATAAAAATTATAAATATACCTTATAAAATTCTAAAATAAACCATTTTAAACATACAAACTCTATAGTTTCTATCCAATTTATTAAAGTTATTTTTCTTGACCGAACTTATGACAAATTCATACTTTTGTTGCAGATTTCATGTATTCATTGCAGGTATGACATATGTTTGATATCACTCCAACAGTAATTTACATCCTGTGTTTTGATTAAGGAAATTTTCATTTTTTACAATTATATAATGTTCTTTAATTCTTCTTTTAATAATGTATTTTCTCTATACAATATTTTAATACTTGTTTGATAAATTTTACATTTATTATTTTCCCTAAATTCGTACCAAGGAGAAACTTTATATTTCAGCCTAATGGCAGCTTTGTATTCATTAATACGGGTTTTTAATTTTCTGGGTGAAACTAAAAGGAAATTAAAAACTGAAACAAGAACTAACATTATTGTTTATTCTGTTGTTATTTTTTAATAAAACAAATCAGCTATTTTGCCTGATGATTAATTTGTCATCAGCTAAATAACTGGCTATTTTCCTGGTTTTCTCCACACGTCTAACACCTAAATAGGAGACAATTTTCCATAGAAAGTCCTCGTGAGAGGGGTATTTTGCTTGTTGGATAATCCATGCATTGTATTTCCATATGCCATCAATTCAATCCAATCCAATCCAATCCTTTTTATACATCTATCGATATGAAATGAAAATACTACATTTTTATAATTTTTTATTTTTTCATAGTTTTTTTAATTAATATAAATTGCATATAAAAAATAAAAATATATTTAAAAAAAATACAAAAATATTCTGAATTTATTAAGTTTAATTTCTAATTTGTTTTTAGGTAATCAAAGACTGTTTTTCAGCAAAATCTTTTTGTTTAATGATTAATTTGTTCATGTTTGTTTTTGTCTTCTAAATTCTGAATTCAGACTATTTTTGTAGTTACATTGCTGATGATTGAATGTTGTTTTTACTTAATGGTAGTATTTTTAGATATTACCATTAAGAATCTTTTATTTGGAAGTTATGACTATATATATATATTAAAAACTAGGACATTGTGAGAGTTTGTCATATTATGATAAAATTGAGGCAGAGTCGGAAAGTTTTAAATAATTTTTTTATATTGGAACGTTCATCAACTCCTAACAGGTCAATACTGACCCTGTTGGCAAACCCTGCTTTAATAGGCCTATCTCTATATTGAAAATGAAGTCATAGACTTCTATTTTTTACATCTAAATAGACCGTCATTTCATTTTTGTGTTCCTCATCACAATTAATGAAAAATGGCAAAGTTTAATCAAAATTAATTAAACAGATTATGAGAATGAACACAATTCTGTAAGCCTTGTAGAAGAGGCTTTGCTAATACTCTGCCTCAATTGTTATTTTCACATGTCAACTATAGTAAACAGACTAATACAGGATCTTCCGAAACAAATGTCATCATTTTGAATTATTGTATTTATGTTAATTACTATCTGAGAACATACATTAAAACATCGGAAAACTGTCAAAGTTTTACATTTATCCATTTAATTTCTGACTGTGTGCACCTTATATCGTATGACACGCATTCAACTGATACTCAAATTTTTTCTATGCTCACTACAGAATATCCATTGGCACTCCTAGAGCAGCCAGAATTCTACAGCTCCTGCAGATCATCCATTTTGCACAGTCATGAATGATTCTGACTTTGCAAACTTCAGAAGACAAAATATTGTTAGGAAGTTGCCATTTTCATTTATGGCACTACCTAAAGGTAGGAAAGAAGACATTTGATTTAATTATTAAGTATTAATTTAATTATAATTATTAAATTTATCAAGTGATGGCACTTAATGCCTACCTCTAGGTTAAATAAGTTGACATTTAATTAGTAATTAATAGCATTATTATAGCTTGATGTAATCCAGTAATCATTTGGCATTAATCATAAAATAGTCTTTTGCATAATAGACTAATTTCATTTGAATTTTTCAAAATTAAGAAATATTTTTACTCTTATTTTCTACATTGTTGGCCATGTCATAATTTAAAAGACTTCATTTGTTTTACAGAAACTGATAAGAATAATGATAACACCATGAAAAAGGTGTGCTCACCTGAAGAAACAAGAAAAGAATCATCACTGTTGACTGATAAAGAAATGAATGAATTAGGTGCAAAATTGCTGAAGGCAGAAATGTTAGGAAATTTAGAAGAGGTTGAAAAGTTGGAATCAAAATTAGAAAGGGCTAGGAAAGCTAAAGAAGAAGCATCTTCTGGTAAAAAGAGGAAACAGGTAATATTTTAATATAATTTCTCAATTTTATTTTAGAACATTTTTAATATAAAAATATTGAATAAAAAACTTAAGGTTAAAAAATAAAGTTCAATAGACAAATGAACGTTTTTAACAGTCATAATCAGCTTTAACCTAATAAGTTTGAACAGTGAAAAAATCCGATCATATTAATGTTTTTTTTGAACATCGATATGATTGGTAATTTTGGTTTTAAAAAAATGTTCTAATTTCAATTGCTGTTTGATTTTATTAGGTTAAAACTGATTATGACTGTTCAAGATGGTGGAAAACATTACTTTGTCTATTAAAGTACATGTTTTGCTGGATATTTTTTGTGTTAGTTTGTTAAATCAAACTTCATCCAGTTTTGCAAAGCATTTGTTTATATAATTAATTACATTTAAAAAATATTTTAATAAATTTTCTTCTGTTTATGTTATGCAAATATTCATTAATTTAAATATAAAAGTAAGATTTGGCATCACTTGCTTATTTACTTCTACAATTATTGTTAATCTGTAAATTTAACATTATTTGAAAGAATTAAGAATAAACTATTAAGTGTACGTTTTGCCGGAGTTTTACTGTCGACATGTTAATTAGTCATTAAAGTATGCATATTTTAATACCACATTAAGATGATATTTACATTTTTTTTCTGACATAGATAACATTTACCTCATTCTAATTATCTAATAGTTATAAGATTGTTATGAATAATAACAAAACTATCAGTTTTGAAATTAGTCTTTCTGATTTTTGGACATTGAAGTTGGATTTTGATAAGATAAATTTATCAATGTTAAATGACTTAATATTAGTTAATTTCTCACTTGTTACATCTACAGTTCAATATACAAGCATTCAGTTATTGTTAAAAAGAACAAGCAATTATTAATTAATTGCTAGAGTTGAGGATCTCGATTTGTCCACAATGGGCCATATTTGTTTGCCTGGTTTATGGGTTTTTGCATAGCCAAATAGCCTCGGTATGTCGGGTGATTGCATTGTAGCATTCGGGAATGCCACAATGCAATCACTGGTTCAGCAGTCATTTGTCATATTACTAAAATATTGGGACTTGTCTGGGTTAAGTAATGGCTAGCTGAGTGCTGTAGTATGTGATTATTGAATGTGAGTGCTGAAGGCATCCCCAGGTAGTGCTGTATGTAACCAAGGATGGTTATATCTAACAAGGGGACCTTACAGTCTCGGAAATTCAGTTTGGGATGAGATTGCAGGTTAGTAGTATATTTGAAGGGTGTCCACCCAGAAGAATTGCAAAGCTCACTAGCCAGAAGATTTGAGAAAAAGGGGCTATAAAGTTTTAAGCTCACCTTATATACTGGTCGAGTTTACATTATGGCAACATACCTAAATGGCTGAGTCTGTAGTGAACGCGCTTGGCACGCAGGCAATCTAGGTTTGATCCTACCTTTGGCTAACTTTTTATTAAAATTGTTTTAAAAATTATAACAACTTTTAAATAAAGTTAATGACCTAAAAATATTATCAATTAAATTATAAATAATAATCAACAGCTAGGCTCTACTCTTCCATATAGAAACCAGTTCCTCAAATTTACAATGAATATTTTTAACCTTTTCACAGCTTATATTATCTTAAAATTTGTAATAACTTTTTAATGACAATAGTAATTAAAGTTTTAATATACCTCCATTAAAAATGCATTTCAAATTATTCAACTTTTTAAAAATAAAATGTTATCTTTATATTGTTAATTCACTTTTTAATTAGCTGAACAGTCATTTCATAAATAAAATAAAATTATTTCTGATTTAATTGATAATATTTTTAGGTTATTAACTTTATTTAAAAGTTATAATTTTCAAAACAATTAAAAAAAAATTAGCTGAAGATAAGACCAAACTTACATCGCACGCGTGGCAAGTGAGTTTGTTACAGACTCAGCCATTTCTCTGTGCTGCCATAGTGTAAAATCATGGTATATGAGCTGCGCTTAAAACTTTAGAGCCCTTTTTCTCGGAATCTTCTGGCTAGTGCGCTTTGCAATTCTTCTGGATGGACACCCTTGAGTTATACTATTAACATGCAAAGTCTCATCCCAAACTGAATTTCTGAGACCATAAGGTCCCCTTGTAAATTAAATACATCTGGAAGCAAGGATTGGGCAGAGGTCTGGGTATCATAACTGGCAACGAATTCTTGTAATAAGTGGGAGTTCAGTTTTTGAGTCTCTCTCCGGGCCAATTCTTTTTCCAGAATATTTTAAATTGTTTCTTTGATCAAGTTGCCAAAGATTTTTGCTTTAAGTGGTAATTATTGAGGAAAATATACAGTAATGGGTCAATTAAATGGCACTTAGAAATCCAGAATTACCATAAAATCAGCTAGTTTTGAATTTGATGGACTATAGCACAGCTGTAGTTTGCCACATGGCTGCTTTATTTTGGATTTTGTGGTATATGTGTCAGACAATGCTAGTTCCAATATATTCTTTATTTGTTTTTAATTTTTATCCTAAATATTACACTATAAATTGTATTCTATATTTTAAGAGAATTAATAATGATCAAACAGACTATGCTTCAGAAGTATTAATTTTTATCTGTTAAATATATTTTGCTTCTTAACTTTGAAGTATAATTTTCATTCCAGGTAGATACTTATGATGCTGGTGGAAAAAGAACATGTTATTTTCCTGATGATGATAAATATTCCTTAAAACAAATGGTAAATAAATATATTTTTAGGAAACTTGTTAAATACAGTAGCATTTTAAAATTTAAATGATATATTTACTTCTGTAAATCTTTCATACTATTTTAATTTTTTACTGATTATTATATAATAATTACTTTTTAATGAACCTATAAATATTTTAAAAATTTTCTAGTTTGAAAAAGAAAGGAAGACAACTATTGATGATCAAAATGCTGAATTTGCAAGATTGTTTGCTAAGGTAATTGTAATGTATGATTTTTATTATTATTTTTTTATGAAAACCATGCAAAATATATGCAATACAAACTATTACAGGAATTTATTCCATTACATCAGAGCTCTTAAAATTTTTCTATTTGTAGCCTTCTTTTACCTGAGAAAATTTTACATAACTCCTCGTATATAGGTATATAAAATAGGCATAAAAATAAAATCACTTACTGATGATAAATCATAAAACAGTTCTTTTATATACAAATTATTTTACTTTTTATTAAAGACAAAAGCAAATTTGCATTCTGATGAGATGAATGTGCATGTTTATTTTTACATACAAAAACTAAATCTTGGCTGAATAATTGATACTGTGGGATGCAAGGCATCTTCAGCATTTTGCAGAATTGACTGACTTTTAACCACAAAACAAAACTATTTATCATGCTGTGAATGTTTTATTCTAGCATTTTCAATCTTAATCAACCTTTAGGAGCTCTCTAAATAAATAGAAAGATGTGTTTATAATGGCATGTTCACATATATGCCCTGAATTAGTAATGCAGCCTGAGCCTTGGATAGTGAAGACTGTCCCCGATGTTGAACAAGCAGTAGAAGGGTTAAGCAACATAAATAAGCAGTTTTTTCCAATGGAAGACGTTTAAATTCAGGATTGACCTTAAGACGTCTACCCACATCTCAATATGGAAGTCTGGGATAGCAAAAGAGGTGTGGCAGAAAATAATGTAGTGTTAGTATGGGCAGACAAATCGAAAGATATGTTTTTCTGTTACGAGCTCATTATTATTAGCATAATGACTTATGCTAATAATAATAATGAGCTTGTAACAGAATACATCAATGAGACACAATGCACAGCATGCCATCTGCATACTGTTGACCATCTACAAGCAAAGGTCAAGAGATTTGCCACCATGACCTTAGTGAGAAAACTTAGGATGGAGAAAATAGCAGTTGCCTCTCTCTCAATACCAAGATTATTCAGATTTGCAAAAAGTGACAAACCTAGGAAAAGCATAAGACCAGTTTTAGACGTGTTGTTCATCTACAATTTTGTTGGGACACATGCTCAATAGATTTGTCAGTGCATGAATACTGCATAATGCAGTTGCTAGATCTAATCCAGAAGCTCTAGAATTTAGAGCTGAGAGATGAGTTTATTATGGTTATGGATTTCAAAACACTGTACCCCTCAATCAAGCTGGAACCACGTTTTGCCACTTGAGAAACTTTCAAATGAACAAAATCAGCAATTCAGACAGCTTGTGTATAGAAATGCTGGAGTTGGCACACCTAGCTACATATTATTTTTTATGTTCAGTGGGCTGGTTTACGAGGAGAACAGGGTGACCATGGACAATCCCATATCCAGGACCCTGTGCAAGATGATCATGAGGTCATTGGAGAGTGGAACCATACCTAAATATAGAGACAAATGTTGCTCTGTATGTGTGTTATATAGACAATGTATTATTAATGTAGAGGAAGAAACCTAATATCAGGCAATTTGTCAAAGATATTAATTCTAACCCATTTGGCTTGAAAATAGAATTGGAGTATGAAAGTGATTGTGGTGGCACTTCCTCAACATCTCGTTCACGTTAAAGGGGTCATCAAAGATATTTACAGGAGGCTGACTTACAACCCAATATTTATAACCTGAGCTACATATCCCAGTGAGCTATATGTTTGTGGCTCTTATAAAACAAACATATACACATTGCACTAACATACAGGACAGGATAAGAGAGTTAAAGTACATCAAAGCGATTGTGCTTCAAGCATAAAATGATAAAAGGAATGATCAACAAATGGAGGACAGGAGATAGGGGGACAAGAAGATACTACAAACAGGATGGATATGCAGTCGTGGAATACATGATACCCCTCTGCAATGTTTGTAGAGAAATAGGATTGTTACTAACAGGAAAACTGTATTTAAAAGTAATCACAGGTATCTTTTTAAATACAGTTAAAAGGTATATACAAAATGCTATAAATGACAAAGTGGCTATTGACCTGATGTGCACTACTGGGAATACCAGTAAAAGAAAGCAGGAAGCATAATGACTTATGCTAAACAAGAGCCACTAGACAGGATAAAATAGCATAAAGATAACATCTGGAAGGAACAGCCTTAGTGACCTATACAATAACAGATGCAGATTCTGTAGCAGTAGACTGGAATCAAACAGAAATAATCCAAAAGGTGCAGAAGAAGTGATATATTAAATATGTGGAAGCATAAGCTTAACAGAGAGGGGCAGGCAGTAAATTATAGAGAGAACGCTACGATTTCAGCTGCATGGAAAGTGTTACTTGATAAAAATCTAAAAGCAAGCTAATTAACAGCACATTAGGAAAGATAGTATTTCAATTACAGGGTAGTGATTAATTTGCTAGTATAGAGATTGTAAGTACTGAAGTAAAATTTATAAAGTATAAATTAGAAAGCACATACTAGACTTTCACATGTGAAAGTCTAGTATGTGCATTTTAAAAATTTGTCTTGTTCTAAATATAAAATATTATAAACCATTATAGAATAAGTGGTTTTGTTTTTTTTTTTTTTAAATTGTAAAATTTGGATGTCTCCTGAAGAAGGTTGATTTAGAAGACCAAATACATTAGAATAATAAATGTTTACTGCGTGATAAATGGTTGTGTATTGTGGTTAATGCTGGTGTAGTTACTGAAGGGATGACTGACATTTTGATTTTATAATTGTCGATGCTGAAAATGGCACTTCACATAATACAAAATTTTATTGTTGTCAAATTTTTTACACTTCATAGTCTAAGAAGGTTTGACCTACATAAATTTTAATGAAGTCACTTTTACATTCCGTTAATTTTGCAACGTTCATATCTTTCATGAAAATCGTGACAGCTGTCATATACATTTATTCATTGTGACGGTACAGAACTTGTGAGAAGTTTGATGATGCTGTGAACAGACTGTGCTCATCTGACCAAATCTGANTCAGCATGAGCATCATCAACTTGTAACAGTTTTTGAAAAGATTGTATTTAGTATTTAAAATATATAAATAAGCTTTATTATTTATGTGCCAATTTTTAAGTATGTGAGAGTGGCAAAAAATTTAGAGCCATTCTGGCACAGTAGAATCAAAAATAAATCATCATCATCTCTTAATAGCAGTCGCTCTGTGTCTCCGCTACAACGGGAGTGCACTGCTGTTTGTAGGCATGTAGGAACGATGGTGAAAGAAAGAAAGATGGCAGCGCCCATACTATTGATAGTATTGAGATATGGAAATCTATAATTTTAAAATATGAGCTTTTAGAGGCAAAAGAAGAGTCCCAATTGTAAAATTTAATTATTAAATGGATTATTTGTTGAAAGAGCATTCAAAGTAGCAATGAAAAAAAATTAGAATGCTCGCGCGGAGGTATAAAAGAACGCACTCTTTATTACATTTCATGTTGAACAAGGGTTTTACCCAATTTTCAAACCGTGTTATAGTGAATACGTGCTATAAAAACACCGTGTTATACGGGGATGTGTCCCAATTGTCAAACCGTGTTAGAGTGAATCCATGCTACAGAAGTGCCGTGTTATATGGGGGTTACCTGTATTTCCATTATTTATTTTCCAGTTTGTTTCAGTTGTTTTGAATTTTGGGGGATTAAATTTGTTAAATCTTAACTGCTATCTCAACATTTTTCAACTAGAACTTTGAAATTGAAAATTAAGGATATTTGCAATGAGGCTTTTCTTGCTTTTAGGTGAATTATACAAAAGCTGTGAATCATGACCATGCATATGGAGAGGACAATTTCAGGACAGTAACAACCTAAAACTGTTTAGTATTGTCAACTACAAATGTTGCAATTCTCATTTTATCTTCATTGGACATTTTAAAGGTCAACATTATTGACTTTTAAAGAATTATTTTGTGCCATATCTATAAGTTTAAAAATACATCAACTAGTCCTTCTGTTGGTGAATTTTGATAAGCAGCAAGTGTTATTAAAAGCAGTTTTCCTTTAAGCCAATGACTTTTGTCACTGAACCTGTACTAATGAAGTCAAGGTCAAGAGAAACAATGTTTTCGTGACTTTTAAGAAAGGCAGATAATGAATACCCTTATTATTTTGGATTTTTGACATAAATTAGTAGACACACAAGTTAAGCAAAATTTTATTTAAGTATGTGTAATATGCAAATCAGCAATGTATAAAAGAATATTACTAAAAATAGAAAAAGACAAATAATAAAGTTGCCTTATATTTACAGGGTGGCTAATAAATATTTTAAATTAGTTTACATATATTTAATATGACAATCTTGTCATAATATCCATCAATTGCCACTGTGTATCCAAGGACAATAAAACAAAATTAAAGACAATAAAAAATGTTTTTATTTAACAACATTCTGTTTTATAAATTATCAAAATGCATTTTGGCTTTCTATCAAAATTAAGCCCTTATCAGTTCTAAAATAATAAAATACAAATTATTTTAGTACAATCTAGGTGATAAACACACATACAAGAAGTTTATTGCAATAGTCTTAGAGAAACAACAGTTCTCTTACATTACATCAAAACCAGAATACTGCAATACATACGTGGTAAAAATGATGCTACAATAATTTACCATAAAAATTATAAATATACCTTATAAAATTCTAAAATAAACCATTTTAAACATACAAACTCTATAGTTTCTATCCGATTTATTAAAGNATAAATATTTTAAATTAGTTTACATATATTTAATATGACAATCTTGTCATAATATCCATCAATTGCCACTGTGTATCCAAGGACAATAAAACAAAATTAAAGACAATAAAAAATGTTTTTATTTAACAACATTCTGTTTTATAAATTATCAAAATGCATTTTGGCTTTCTATCAAAATTAAGCCCTTATCAGTTCTAAAATAATAAAATACAAATTATTTTAGTACAATCTAGGTGATAAACACACATACAAGAAGTTTATTGCAATAGTCTTAGAGAAACAACAGTTCTCTTACATTACATCAAAACCAGAATACTGCAATACATACGTGGTAAAAATGATGCTACAATAATTTACCATAAAAATTATAAATATACCTTATAAAATTCTAAAATAAACCATTTTAAACATACAAACTCTATAGTTTCTATCCAATTTATTAAAGTTATTTTTCTTGACCGAACTTATGACAAATTCATACTTTTGTTGCAGATTTCATGTATTCATTGCAGGTATGACATATGTTTGATATCACTCCAACAGTAATTTACATCCTGTGTTTTGATTAAGGAAATTTTCATTTTTTACAATTATATAATGTTCTTTAATTCTTCTTTTAATAATGTATTTTCTCTATACAATATTTTANTACTGGGAATACCAGTAAAAGAAAGCAGGAAGCATAATGACTTATGCTAAACAAGAGCCACTAGACAGGATAAAATAGCATAAAGATAACATCTGGAAGGAACAGCCTTAGTGACCTATACAATAACAGATGCAGATTCTGTAGCAGTAGACTGGAATCAAACAGAAATAATCCAAAAGGTGCAGAAGAAGTGATATATTAAATATGTGGAAGCATAAGCTTAACAGAGAGGGGCAGGCAGTAAATTATAGAGAGAACGCTACGATTTCAGCTGCATGGAAAGTGTTACTTGATAAAAATCTAAAAGCAAGCTAATTAACAGCACATTAGGAAAGATAGTATTTCAATTACAGGGTAGTGATTAATTTGCTAGTATAGAGATTGTAAGTACTGAAGTAAAATTTATAAAGTATAAATTAGAAAGCACATACTAGACTTTCACATGTGAAAGTCTAGTATGTGCATTTTAAAAATTTGTCTTGTTCTAAATATAAAATATTATAAACCATTATAGAATAAGTGGTTTTGTTTTTTTTTTTTTTAAATTGTAAAATTTGGATGTCTCCTGAAGAAGGTTGATTTAGAAGACCAAATACATTAGAATAATAAATGTTTACTGCGTGATAAATGGTTGTGTATTGTGGTTAATGCTGGTGTAGTTACTGAAGGGATGACTGACATTTTGATTTTATAATTGTCGATGCTGAAAATGGCACTTCACATAATACAAAATTTTATTGTTGTCAAATTTTTTACACTTCATAGTCTAAGAAGGTTTGACCTACATAAATTTTAATGAAGTCACTTTTACATTCCGTTAATTTTGCAACGTTCATATCTTTCATGAAAATCGTGACAGCTGTCATATACATTTATTCATTGTGACGGTACAGAACTTGTGAGAAGTTTGATGATGCTGTGAACAGACTGTGCTCATCTGACCAAATCTGACTTGCATTACAATATTGTCAAACTCCTCACAGTATTCTTGAATTCATTTGATCACCTGATATATGGTATATTAATACATTTGCAACTTCATGATTTATGGAAATTGGTGATACTTTTACCGGGAAAATCCAATTTTTAGTCACATCTAGAATATAGTTTAAAATTATGTTTATATTTATAAATAGCATTTTAAATCAAAAATATTGTTATTAAAATATACTATAAATTGCTTAAAATATAGTTTTTTTTAGTTGATTTACAGAAATTTAATTATTACATGTAATTCAATATACAGTAGTACACTTTCATTAATATAAAGTGATTATTGTACAAGTTTTTTCAATTATATAAAAAAGTTTTAATTAGGGGAATTATGTATAAAGAAAAGTCAAAAGGCTATTACAGGAAACACGTATTTAAAAATCTGTTTTTAAGTATAGGGTGTTCCAAAAAGAATGCTGCTGTTTTAAATAGTTGTAATTATGTTAATTATTATCCAAGAATGATGGAATGTACATTAAAATATTGAAAAATTATCCAAGATTTACATTTTCCCATTACAATTTCTCAATGTGTGCACTTTGTTACATGCATTCAATACTTATATTTTTTCTATGCTCACTATAAGAAGAATATGAATATGACTATTGTGTCACTCANAAGAGGCTTTGCTAATACTCTGCCTCAATTGTTATTTTCACATGTCAACTATAGTAAACAGACTAATACAGGATCTTCCGAAACAAATGTCATCATTTTGAATTATTGTATTTATGTTAATTACTATCTGAGAACATACATTAAAACATCAGAAAACTGTCAAAGTTTTACATTTATCCATTTAATTTCTGACTGTGTGCACCTTATATCGTATGACACGCATACGACTGATACTCAAATTTTTTCTATGCTCACTACAGAATATCCATTGGCACTCCTAGAGCAGCCAGAATTCTACAGCTCCTGCAGATCATCCATTTTGCACAGTCATGAATGATTCTGACTTTGCAAACTTCAGAAGACAAAATATTGTTAGGAAGTTGCCATTTTCATTTATGGCACTACCTAAAGGTAGGAAAGAAGACATTTGATTTAATTATTAAGTATTAATTTAATTATAATTATTAAATTTATCAAGTGATGGCACTTAATGCCTACCTCTAGGTTAAATAAGTTGACATTTAATTAGTAATTAATAGCATTATTATAGCTTGATGTAATCCAGTAATCATTTGGCATTAATCATAAAATAGTCTTTTGCATAATAGACTAATTTCATTTGAATTTTTCAAAATTAAGAAATATTTTTACTCTTATTTTCTACATTGTTGGCCATGTCATAATTTAAAAGACTTCATTTGTTTTACAGAAACTGATAAGAATAATGATAACACCATGAAAAAGGTGTGCTCACCTGAAGAAACAAGAAAAGAATCATCACTGTTGACTGATAAAGAAATGAATGAATTAGGTGCAAAATTGCTGAAGGCAGAAATGTTAGGAAATTTAGAAGAGGTTGAAAAGTTGGAATCAAAATTGGAAGGGGCTAGGAAAGCATCCTC